ACTCGCACCCCAGAACCTCAACTCGAACCTCTAATCAATAAACCCGACATCAGCCTGAATGATGATTTGTCTCTCGTTGAGTATATTTGGATGAGAGGTCATTATCCTCCCCTGGGGCACAACAGTTTGGATTGGATTTGTGTTGGGTTTGTGTTGGATTTGAGTTAGGTTTGGGTTTAGGTTTGAAAAATCAAATAAGTTGACGTGTTAACTTTTCTGATAAATTACCATAAAAGGAAATATCATTATTTGGGTAATAATTCAATAATAGCTAAATTCAATTCAATTTATTGGGCTAGTGTATTGGACCGGGCTTATTGCAACTTCTAGCCTACACGGATGGTGTAATATACTGGAGGAGGGCCGGCTGGGTTAGAATAAGCAGGCTTCCAAATGTTTTGCTTTAGAGCTTTTATTGTATCGCAATAGTCAAAATAGTATATGATAAGAAGAAGGATTTGGAAGCTAGAGAGATATTCTCAAAATGTAGGAATCCTTTCTACAAGCATTGTTGTTGATCCAAAAAGAGGCATAATCAGAATTTGCAAAAATCAAATATAAACGTCTAAATCAAATAGTTTGGGGTGTAAAAAGACATGCTGTTCAGAATATTTATATCAAAACAAGAACTATATTCATATCAGCGAGCTCTTAAACTCTTAGATTATTTTCATGAAGCTCCAAACTCTTTTGGTCTAATTTAACATAATTTAACATAATTTATCGTTTAATCACATCTTAATTGCTAACTTTTACCTTCTAAAACAAGATAGAGTTGTTTAACTCTCTATAATTCCTAGATCACTACTAACTTTGTAGTAATCCTAATACTAGCCAAATACTAAGTCCATTTTAACTATACACACTCTATTACAGACGCTCTTTGAGATAAGTGGAGTCTTTTATTGAATAAATAAGAAGGCGAGTGAGAGATGACGTCATATTAAGTTAATGTTAGTAGTACTAAGTAGGAAGTAATTATATTGGTATTGGGCAGTGGTCATGGCAGTACTATAATTACTGGTAATCCCGAGTGTTTTGATGTTTGGGTAATCAAGAAGAAGGTCTATCTGAACGTCATCTGCTGCATGCAATATGACAATAATCGACTGTCTAGGCATTCTCTGACATTCTTTACTTAGCAGCCACCAAGTGGGCTGGGTTAGTTTGGGCTACCTTTGGATATGGTAACTAGCCTCTTCTTAGATAAGCTAATGCTTTTGAATCGACACCTGCTCGCAAACCTTTTAGCTGCTTCTTATCATTGATAAAATCGCTATGACCTATTTCGTTTCTGTTACGTATTCGGAGCAAGCATATCTGTTCAAAAGTACCACGGTTGCATGCCGTAAATAGTAGGATGGTCTGGGCATCGCGCCATTGGTCTTCCGACAAGAGAGTTTTCATCTTGAACTTTGTCTGGTCTAAAGGGGGCATTTTAAATGTTTGGATCGTATTAATACAGATAGAAACAGTATTAAAGGGAGAGTACTTTACCATAGCCACTGCAATGCGGCTAGCGCAAGGTTCTTTGTTTTGTAAATGTACAATGAGTTTAGTTAACAACTGCTGTCCCTTTATATCCTTTATCGATCTTACAAACTTCCACCAATCAGGACAACAGATTTCTATCTCTCTGGCCTTAAGATTTAGCCCTGGCTCTTTCTTTACTGCCCAGAATTTGCTGTCTGGTACCCAAAGAAGAAACTTGTCCAGTAGCAGTGGGTAGCCTGTGAATTCTTTCCCGGCCCTGGTCGAGAGTTTTGGTATGATATGTTCAATGCATGGTTTTCGCCTTTGAGCTATTGACACTACGTTGTAGGCTTTAATTTGGTCATGCAGAATCAAATAATAGGCATTCATGAGTGGGCGTTGCTGATGTAGTGTAATTGTCTCGTCAGGATAGGCCTGGGACTTAGTTTGGTCAAAGCCAAATGGTTCAATTGGTTGTTGAAAGGCATACTTGGTGACACTCGATTCACAGGTTAGGCAATCATAGAAGAGGTAAGCTGCGGTCAGAGCTCGTTTCTTGATTTCCAAGAACTGGGAAGAATATGATCCTGTTACCGGCGGGGTCAGTGGAAAGAACCGATCTGGCAAATTAACCAGCAAAATAAATGGCATATTCTGACTCAGATCGATCTTTGCCTTGTTGAGCAAATCAATACAGCCAAGCCTTCGGCAGCTCCCACCTAACCTGTGCCATTCAAACACAAACGACATCCTTTTGCAAGTATCACAACTTAAAGGAAAGAGATCCCTGCACATTTGAACGATCCCGGAATAACGCGCGGGGCGTGCCTTCCGAGTCAGCAAGAAGTAACAAACTCTAACCCACTGGTTTGGGATGCCAGGAACTGGCACAAGCCGCTGCCAGATAAAAAACATAGTATTGGACGACTCCGTAGTCCAAACGATTGTGTTGTTAGTGTTGTTATAGTTTACTCTGTTTATATAGCGCATGTGATAGTGTATAGGCGGCTGCAATACTTGACCCTCGCGGATATAAGTCTCCGTTAAAGATGGAATGATTGAGTTGACATCGCTTACCCTGTCCAAGCTCGTTTGACGCAAGTCTATATATACTTCTTGCACATTCGCTAATGGATCCAACCTAGCAGCCGACATCAGTTCATTAAACAACAATCCGAATACAATACACAGTTTCCCTTTAAACATTGCTTATGGTGCTTTGAAAGATATAAATTGGTATAAAGCGTATCTAGGGGCTATGGTGATATTTTGTATTTGTGATTTTATTCTATCTACCTAATAACCAAAAGGTTGCATGGTATATATCCACCCAATCCATGGCTGCAAAACAATCATTGGGAATATAATATCCAATATTAACTGTTGTGTCCTCGCCGACCTTCACTTCAAAGTGAGTTATCTACAGGGGCAAAGTTCTGGAATACTTATCGGCCTGGCACTGATCGCAGCGAACGCGATTAAATCTCGAAGTAGAAATCACAATCTCAGATTAGTATTTATATTCTGAGTTGGTGAACTATCTCAAGATGATGTACGATAAAGAAAGCCTAAGCTATACTAACCCAATACTAACCCAATTCGTCCTCTTCAAAATCGGTCTTTAATCGAATATGTTTGGTTGAAAGGCACTGTCCCTTCCCCGGGGCACGACACCAAACCAACCCAACCCAACCCAACACTAACACGAACCCAAACCAAACCAACCCAATACCAACACCTTATTTATCAGTTAAAAATACCCTATGCTGGTTTTATTTTGATAGGAAACCCAGAATAGTCACTACGCTTCGCTATTATCATGTATGAATAAAATGACCAGTTCTTCGCATAGGAAGCATTTTAAGTGGGCTAGGCTTATGCCCGTTACATTAATTACAAGTTACTGGCACCAGAACTATCTGAGGCAAAATACAATCTTTCCATTTCGGAATCAAATGCCTCTTCTTCTCGGAACCATATATCCTGTTGGGCCTGGTTGAGAATGGGCGTAGGGGCCCATCCATTCACCATCTCAATAGGACATTTGCCAGTGGCTGGATTTACGCGCTGGTTTAAAATAATAACAGCTGGGCACAACAGCCCGTACCATTTTAGTGGTTTGTTGTTTGGATTGCCACCAGTCTTCCTATTATAGCACTTATGGAGTGTTCTGATTAGTGTTTTGTTGGCGCGTCTTACTTGCCGCAGACCTGGCAAATATTGTGAGCGTCCTTGCCAGTGCTCGATTCCCATGGACTCTAGAAGCTGCTTCAAAGCGGGACTAGCAAACACCCGGTCATTCGTTTGCAACAGCCGTGGCGGAGCACGAGACGCAAAGAGCCGATGAAGGGCCTGAGTAACACATTCGGCTGATTTGTGCACCATTGGCACGGCTGTTATGTGTCTAGAGTAGAGATCCAAAAGTGTCATAATCCAGCCATATCCGCCATTGGCAGGTCGAAATTCTCGCATGTCAATACACTCGACCTGCATGTGCCTCCATAACAGATTGCTTGCGACATATCGGCTGGGTTGTGGCTGGTTTTGGCAAACTGAACAGGCCTGCCACAGTTCAGGAAGTCTTTGAAGTGGAAAGCCAAAATAAAGCTGCTGGATTGTTGTATTGAGAGTGTCTATTTCAGCATGGTTCTGAAGATTGTGTAGCTGGTAAAAGATCTTCTGTATCTGCTCTTCATCGTCGTGCGCAACGGGATCAAGTAGGCGTTCGGTCTTAGTATCGTAGTAGTAGAGATTGTGTTGCTTAAGACGGAAACATTCGGCTAGCGCTTCCAGCTCTTGCCGCTCAGACTCACTCAAACTTGAAAGTAAGGCATTCTCACCGCCCAGGTAGTTAGTGAGCTTGCTAATCTGCTGCTTGGTTAGAAGTACTTGTGCCATTCCAGAAATCAAACTCAAAAGCTTATAAAGCCCTTATAAACTACAGCATGTCACTGATTTAGTCGCTTTGGACGTACAACAACTTTATTCCTCCCAGACAGCTTACCAATGACCTTCCAAACTAGCTATTGAAATGTATGCCTCTTGAGACCCAGCAGGCTAAGGTTCCAAGACTTAAGAGCTAAGTAGCTGCAAATAGTAAATGACCGAACCCACCTAACTCACCTCACTCACCCCAACTCAATACTAACTCACCCCAACTCAATACAACTATTATACATCATTTATTCGACTTTGTCTTAAGTATTACTTTGGCTAGCAAGTCTGAGTGACACCTCTGGGGCTTAGTAGATTAGTCTAGCACGTATTTCTGGTAGATGTGATTAATCAGCCAGCAAGCTTTAGCAAACTCATGAGCCTGGCCCGTTGCACATAATCGGATTATTTCTATAACATCATCGGGAATCACTGGCTTATCAAAAATAGGCTTTATACAGTACTTCCACACTCTTGTTCGGCCGGCAGCCAGGACGAGATCCTTCTCCTGCACAGTAAGCGGATCACCTAAAGGGTTTTTGGAAATGCTGTGCAAGGCCTGGCGAAACTTCTTGGTATGTACACGGCTGGCATTTCCCCCATCAACCAGTTCGTTAAGCCGGGCCAATGCCGCCTTTCTTTCGGTCGGACCTCCCTGGGCTAGCACAGCCAGATCATCGTATCGGTCGTTGGTTAGAACACCGGCTCGATATGAAAATAGGTCGTACGCTATTCGGCCTAAACATATCCTGTCGTGACTGATCGCTTTCTCCCAGGACTCAGCGGTTTCGTTTTCGCGGTGATTAGCCGAGCCAAAATCAATCACTTGAACGCGCTGCCCTTTCTGTAAAATGATATTCGTCAAGTTGAGGTCGGTGTGAGTTATCTTACTACGGTGCAAGAGAACAATCAGGTTTTTCAGTTGGTAGAGTATTTTGGCAACTACTCGCATGGACAGAGTCACGCGCCGACAATCTTCGAGCAATTCGTGCGGGTGTCGGAATAAACAGAATTCAAAGCGATACTTTTCTTTTGTCTTCTTATCATTAGAATTACAGCCGTGTTTCTGTTTGTACGCTTTATATTCGGAGCTATATTTCTTTATGATCGTTCTAATATACTTCTTTCTATGGGTTTTGAGTTTGATGTACTCATCCAGCCGCCGACCAGATACATACTCCATGAGCAGACATTCAAATCCGCCTTCACTAAAATAATCTAGCGGCTTCACAATCATTTGGGAATCAAAGAGCTGTATGGTTTGATGCTCGTTCTTTAATGGCCTAAGCTGGTTCTTTCCCTGGGACCCGCCCATAATCTTGGCAACACAAACTCTATTATTTCGTTTGGCCAAGAACACCCCAGGAGATACAGTGCATACTCCAAGGCTTTTCTCTAAGACTATCTCTTTTTGGTTCAAAACCTTTAGGAACTTCTTGAAATTCGCATCATGTTCGTAACGGGTTAGTTGATCGGGCAGACCGGAGGCTGATAAAAAGTATACCATGACTAAAATTGCCACCAAACTAATGGGCCGGGTACCGACCTTGAAACCTTTCAAATCGCCCATTCTGATGTTCATTAACACTAGCCAATATATATGTTTTGTCCAATCTAGAACCATTTAATAGATTAATAGATTAAATTAGGATCGAGTTGGCGTTCGGTTGGCATTGGGTTGGTTTGGTGTCGTGCCCCGGAGAAGGGATAGTACCTTTCAACCAAACATACTCAATTAAAGACTGATTTTGAAGAGGACGTGTTAGTATTGGGTTAGTATAACTTAAGTTCTCTTTATCGTATGTCATCGTGAGATAGTCTGTAAACTCAGAATATAAATACTAATCTGAGCTTGTGATTTCTAATTCAAGATTTAATCGCGTTCGCTGCGATCAGTACCAAGCCGATAAACATTACAGTACTACACTCCTGTAGATAACTCATTTTGAAGTGGAGGCCGGCGAGGACACCACAACTAGTATTGGTGTTGGAATAAGTCAAATCGTTGATTTGTTCAGTTTGGTGCTATCTAATCATGGAACAAAGAAGGCATCAAATATGCTGTAATTTAGAAGTGCTCTTTATTTCTATTGGGTTAAGGCTGGTTGGCGTTGATATTAAGACCGACAGGATAGGTTTTGGGTGGAATCGGCAAGACGGTCATATGATGATGTATTAACTGTATCTTGAGTTAAATCCAAGTCAACAACATCGTCTGGTGGGCATAATTGATCTAAATCCAAGTCTAAATCCGAATCCAAATCTAAATCCGAATCTAAATCTAAATCTAAATCCCATTCGGCTACTATCAATTCAAGTTGGCTTTCTGTTGAGTCAACTTGATCTTGCATTGAATCATCGGGTTGGTTTGGTAGTGGATTAGACTGGGTTAGTATTGGGGTGGGTTGTGCTGGTAGTGCTGATTCTGCATTAGAGTTGGCTTGGATTGGATCAAGTTGACCTTGAGACAGCTCTGGAAGGGGTTGGAGGAGTGCGGGATTAAGTTGATTCTGAGTTAGCTCTGGAAAGGATTCGGTTATTATTGCGTTGATCTGATCGTAGGTTAAATCTGAACTGGGCTGAGATGGCGCTAGATTATATTGGTCGTGGGCTGACTGTGAAGTGAGATGGTATGGGTGGTCGAAACAAGCTGCATTAATATTAGACTGGATTGCCGGGTCAATGGTGCTGGAAGATGGGCTGTCTGGACAGCCGGATGAGTTAGTGTTTTGAAGCAAACTGGTCCCATGGCTGTCTTGGCTTTGTAACGGGCTTGTAGTGCTATATCTCGACTGGGAGCCCAAGGCAGATGTACTGGTTTGGATAGAACTAAAAGAGATCTTTTGGCGCTTGCTCGGTGGCTCTTGGATTGTGTTAGTATCTTGGTTAGTAGTTTCTGATCTAGATTCAAACGAAAAAGATGCATTATTGTATGTTATCTTGGGCAGTGCGGCGGTTGAGTCGTACCGGAGCGCCTTCATCAGTTCTTCAACTATTGCTTCAGCCCAGATTATACGGCCATCATCTTTCATGTTATTTGGATTGAATACTTCGACCGACTGGATTTCAAATTGCCTAAACAGAACATGTACACCGACGTGTTCAGCAGGGTTTATATTTATCTTGAATTTAATCGGCAGCGAGTGACTAGATTGATAGTTCGAAATATTTGGTAGCAATTTATGCCAGCAACTATGGGTTATGTAGATCTCCTTGGCCAATAGGAAACAATCATGCATCTTCTGTAACTCAACCCCCTGGTTGTTCTCCCAAATCACAAACCGATCAAGTTGGCTCAACACTTCCCAATGCGAATTTATAATCGTAAGATTCGGTACCAGAGTCAAAAAGCTTAAGCAGTAGCCCTTCGCCATGTTAACAACTATGTAGCACTTCAAGCTCGAATGCAGCAAGTGGGCCAAGGATCCTTCAGCATAGTAGTCTGGCCGTTTAGGCGGAATAGCTGCCGCCCAGGCATTCTCTTCTATTCGTATGCATAGCACTCGACTTGGATGCCACTCTTTACAGTAAACGCAATCATACGTTAGAACAGCAATAGTCAGAAATCGCATCCGAATAGATACTATAACGTCATAATAGTCTAAGACGCAATATTCATTAGAGCCGTCCTTTCCTACTACTTCTTCTTGAGCTAGTATTGGGTTAGTAGTAGAAGAGTTTTGGGCCCAGTCACTCTTTTGAGCCGCTATTTTTCGATCAGTACAATCGCTGGGCGGGGTAGGAGTATTTTGCATGAACCCGTCTTTAACTGACACAATCGATGGTTGTGATTTCGCAAAGGTAGGATTAACCATCAAAAACAAAGGGAGATCCCGGTTCGGATCTATTTGGGCGTCATTAAAAAGCTTGGTCGTATCGGTAGTCACGTTATGTAAGCCATCGTGTGTTTCCCAGACAAACGAAATGTTAACGCAGTCTTGGCAAGTAGCAGGGAAAATATCCCGGAACAAGTAATGAAGCATTTTTCTAATAGTCGGTACTTCGTCATTTCTAACTATATCTATCTTAATAAGCCGAGTTTGAAGAGAAGTACTAAAGTCTTCGTAGACCGAAAAGAGATATATACCTTCCCGTGTCCGGGCACGAAGCATGTTACCATAGTTCAAAAGAAATGCACCAGTCTCTGGCTCACGATAAACATCTTTCTGATTTACCGAACAATTCAATTGGTCCACTGTAAAATGAAAGTTCAACCCATGACCGTTTAAACTAGAGTCACAAGTAAACATTGCATAATTACTCGAGCTATCTTCATTTGTACTATTTTCGGCCAAATCAGTTATTATTGAGATATGCTCAGAAGAACTACTAGTCCAACTCCCACCAGAAGTTAGTTCGGAACTAGATTGTGCGTGTATCTGAGCCACTTCAATGTCATTTTGAATTAGTAAATCGCAACTGCCAACGGCCAAACCAGTTCCCAATAAAACAACAATTATTTTCTTTATCTTTCTAATCTCTTTCATTCTTCTGCTTATTTTAGAGATTATTACTTTATCTGCTTTTATATCTTCAATGATCTATCTATTGCAACAACGCCCAATCCATTTCAATTTTAACCCACCATGCCAACCCAGTCCATCTCTCTCCACCACTCAATACTCATCCCAACTCAATCCAACTCATCCCATCCCAATTCAACACCACCCCACCCCACCCCAACTCAACACCACTCCAACTCAACACATCCCAATTCAACACCACTCTAACACCAACACATCCCAAACCAATCAAGACTTCAACCAAGATAAAAATTACTACATAACCCAATACTAATCTATATCAAAAAACAACTACCTAGTCAATATTTAATTACCGTAATGAATAAATCCTATCCCACCCCTCAGCCACCAATAATACTAACCCAGTACTTAACTTAACCCCTACGCACGTCCTTCTTCTCCACACCCATCCGACGGTGTCTTTTTCTCATCCGGCAATCGAGCCGCCTTAAAACAATAGTACACCATGTATAAAAAGCAAACAACCATCACCACCGTCATATATCGCAAAATGTTCTTCCATAAGAACAATCTCTTCCACTTCCCATCTTTCCAAATCGTCTGCATGCCCATCTCACTCCTACTCTTTTTATATCCAAATCAGTGATCATTTCTTAGTAATACTAAACCTAATCGATTACTAACCCAATAGGACATTAGAATGGGTTGGGTTTGGATTGGGTTGGTATTGAGTTAGGTGGGTGCCATTTTAATACCAACTTAGTGTAAACTTAGTACTAGTACTGTTCACAAATTGAGTTAAGCTTAGAAGATACAATAACACTACTACTAGCCCCAACCATACTAACCCAATACTAATAACCAACTTGAGCTTTCTAAATCTTCCACCTCCATTATCAACTTAATCCAAACTCTACTCAACTTAATCCAAACTCTACTCAACTCAATCCAAACCCAACCCAACTCAATCTAAACTCAACTCAATCTAAACTCAACTCAATTTATTTACTTATCTCCACTTCACTCCACACATCTTAATAAGAATCTCAAATCATTTCTACTTTTAAACGAGTAAATACATATAATGTAGATATTTATTCCTTACTACTTTAAATAACTCAATACTAACTAAACCAACTCAATTAGAGTATAAGTATACGACGAAGACCGATAAAAGACTTTCTACGACTTTCTACGAATCTCTATAACATACATGAAAAACTTACAGAAGACTCTATCAGATCTAGAAATGGCTCAAACTCGTATACCAACATAATACTCAATACTTAACTCAATCTAAACTCAATCTAAACTAACTCAATACTCAATCTAAACTAACTCAATCTAAACTCAACTTAATACTAAACCAAATCTAAACCAAATCTAAACCCAATCCAATACAAACTAAACTAAACTAAACCAACTCAATTTAATACTAAACTAACTCAATCTAATACCAACCCAAACCAAACCCCACATCATCCCCACATCAACCCACTACTAACTCAATCCAATCTAATACCAACTCATTTTGAACTTTATTTTATTAATTTTTCAGAACCCTTGTAATGCCATCTGCGCCCACAAGAACTGAAGCGCCTAAAAACGATAACTCTAATCGACCCCCACGTCAAGGAGGTCCTAGAAAGCCCAAGGAAGAGAAGAAATGGGTCCCTAAAACTAGTGTTGGAATTCTTGTTCAAAAAGGCAAGATAACACTTAACGATATCTATGCTAACAGTTTCAAAATTCAAGAACCAGAGATAATCGACTTCTTAGTAGGCAGTAAGCTTAAGAAGGACGTACTTTGTACTAGTTCTATTCAAAAACAGACCAAAGCCGGACAAAGACTTAGAATGAAAGCAACTGTTATTGTTGGTGATGGAGAGAGGAGTATTGGTATTGGTATTAAGTCAGCTAAGGAAGTCCGATCGGCTATTGAGAAGGCGACTGAGGAGGCTAAGTGCAATATGCATCCGATTGATTTTGGGTGGTGGGACCGACAGGTAGGAGAAGCCCATACGGTTAAGGTTAAAGGGTCTGGTAAGTGTGGTAGTGTTAATATTACTTTAACTCCTGCTCCTAAAGGTACTGGTATTATTGCTGCTAATTTATCTAAACGGATATTCCAGATGGCGGGTATCAAAGATATCTTTACTTCTTCAGCTGGTCGGACTTCAGCTAGTGAGAACTTTGCTAAAGCTACTATTCAGGCCTTACAGAAGTGCAATGGGTTTTATACGCCTAGTAATTGGGCTGATCCTAAGCCTATTCCTTCACCTCTTCAGGTTTATGCTGATTTGATTGCTGATTTCCATAAGAAGACATCGATTGTCGCGCAATAAAGTTCTTCTAGTATTTCATATCTTATCTTCTTGGGTTGATTTTGATTTAGTTTGGGTTGTTATTGTATTGAGTTGGTGTTAAGTTGAGTTTAGATTTGGGTTAGTATTGATTTTGGTTTAGATTAACTTAACTCAATTCAATAAGACATAAGCTATAATGACTGTAATGATGACGTCATCTTAGTAAACAAAAATAGTAAACTAGTAAACTTAACTAAACTTAAGATATTAGTAAACTAAACTAAACCAAACCCAATACTAAACCCAACACAACACAATACCAAACCCAACACAATACCAAACCAATCTAAACCCAACCCAATACTAACCCAACCCAAACTCAACTCAATCCAATCATACTATTATGTAAATTCTTTTAGCGTAGTATTGAGATGAAGCGGGAAAGAGATGAAGAAAGTGAAGATGAGGTCTTTGAAAGAAGACGAAAAGTTCACCGACAAGAAAAGACCTCTAAAGATGAAATTGAGGATCTTTTTGCCCATTCTTCAGAATCTGCTGGAGAAAGATCTGAAGAAGAAGTAGAAGATGGACAGTGGGGATTGGGTGGAGCAGTGCGAGCTGGTGTTCTTTTAGAGATATTTGGTGATGGGACTGATTATGTTAAGGTTTTAGAAAGTTTATCTTTAGTTAATTCTTCTGGACTTACTAAATTAGATAAGACTGATAGTTTAGATAGAGTTAGTAGTAGTTTTGGATTAGATAAGAGTTTAGATAAGGAGGGGAGTAGTAAAACTCTAGATAAGAATTTAGTAGTTGAAGCTGTTCAAAGACTAGTAGAGATGGGATGTATTCTAGGTGAGACTGAATTAGAAGAGTTTGTGACTAGTTTAGTTGCTGGTGAGAATAGAGTAGAAGCTTTAGCTAAGGTTTATCCCTTAATTCCTTCAGCAGCTGAAATGTTCTCTTTAACGGCCGTAGAAGAAGTCTTAGCTAGTGTAACTGATAAGGCTAAAATTATCAGTCGCTGGCCAGTTGCTCAACATCCAGAAACAAAAGCACTAGTACGTTTAGCTAAGCAATTAAAAACACCAGCCGAATGCAATCGCATGCACCGGCACTTACAAGTCTTAGATAGTACAGCTACTGAACAGGAAAGGAAGTTAGCTTTATTTATAGCCCAGCAAGTAAGTGATATTAGAGATGAGTTAAGTGGTGATGAGTTAAGTAATGTTAGAGATGGTGATGTTAGAGATAGCTTAAATAATGGTGATAATAGAGATAGTGATAACTTAAGTGATAACTTAAGTGGAGATAAAATATCTATAAAAGTGCTGGGAGATAGTCCTTGGCTCAGAAGATTGGCTATTGATATTGGTATGAATGTTTCAAGTATTGTTTTGGGTGGGGGAACGGGTGCTAGTACAATTCCTGCTAGTCATGTGGCTGGAACTGATCTTTATCTTTTACAAGCTCTGAAACCTCGAGGTCTGACTTATCAAGTCGTACTTAATCCGTTGGAAACTCAGAAACAGATCTTGCAAAAACTAGCTGGCAGTGGTTTAGTTGGTTTGGATAAGTTGATTGAAGAGTTCTTAATGGAGTACCGAATGGATATAGAAATGGGTGTAGAAAGAGGATTGTGTGGTTTTGCAGAAGAAACAGTTAGGGCTTCTTTGTTTGTGAAGGTTTTGGATCTGGCTAGTCTTAATTGTGATAGGCTTTGGGTGAAGGCTTTTTGGTTGACACGTGGATGGTTTAGACATACACTTTTGGATGCTAAAGAGAATAAAGTATCTAATGGACCGGCTGATCCAGGAGTATCTCAATCAGCTGAGGAAACAAGTACAAGTACGCCTTTAATGGCTTTTACAGGTCGTGGGCATAAGCTTAAGTCTTATTTGCGCAAACGAGATAGTGTTTTTGTTCCAGAAGATCTTTTAGATCGAACTGATCGGGCTAAAGATCTTTCTTTGGCTTTAGCTCTCTTTCTTAAACATCCCGTTAGTAGTTTGGGTCGGATCTTACGATCGGGTCAGAGTTTGCCTAGTTTAGTGCCTTTCCAGGACCGATTGAAACCGGATCGAGTGGCTAAGATTTGGCAGTTGGCTTTGGATGTAGCTGAGGCCCGAATTTGGCTCTACCAGTCTACTGAGTACTTGGCTTTGAAGAAAGACTTGCTGGAGTACTTGAAATCGGGTGGAGACGTATGTAGTCTTGATTGTAGTATGAATGCTAGTTTAGCGCAAATTAAGACGCAAATCCGGCAGACACCTGTGCCGTATGCTAAATGGACTTTGCCTTTGGAAGAACCGGCTATTGAGAACAAGATCTTACGTGAGGCTTATTTACAATGTGTGCATCGCTTACAGGGGACTTTAGAGTACCCGCGTTTAGTGATTACTCCTCGGGAAGAGTTTAGATGGGTGACTGGCCTATCAGAAGAGAGTCTTTTGGCTTTAGAAACAAGTTGGACCTTATCAGCTGGAGCGGAAATATCTCTACCGGGCTTAGTGGTGGAAGGAGCGGTGGCTTATATAGGAACGGATACTCAAGTTCAGCTAAGTACGGGATCACGTGCATCTTTGCGGTCGGCAGGCAGTAATTTAGTAGTTGGACAGCGGCTTAAGTTGCAGGTGGTTGAAACTGATTTAGTTCATCAGAAGATCATTGTGCAGGAGCAGCAATCAGCTGGTGGTCCGAGTTTAAGGGCCCAAAGTCATTGGCGAGTTAAGAATGTTGGGGCTAAAGGTGTTTTACGACTACTTAAGGATAAGTCTTTTGGTGATTATGTTTTACGTATCTCTACTTCTTATCAAAACTCACTTATTTTAACTGTTCGTTTAACAGAGCGTATGGAAGAGTGTCTTTGTGGTTACATTCATCTTAAGGAACTACCAAATGGTTATGAGGTAGAAGGTCGGAAATGGGACTCAATTGATACGATTTTAAATCAGTACTTACCTAATTATCTTAAGTCACTTAAACGGGTACTAAGTCATCGACAGTTTTCTATTGATTCACCCGAGCAGTTGCTTAATGAGGCCAAAACTTTAGCCACTACTAAGTCCAGCACTAATTCAACACAGTTCATGGCTTTTGCCCTATCACGCAGTCAGCCCGGCATGGTATCTTTTGTTTATATACCTTCTGGCCATGTCCCGGTCGCACTAACTCTTTATCCCGTTGAAAATGGCATGGTCTTCCAAGGCCGTCTCTTCACGCGCCCAGATGAATTCATCCAGTATGTCCAAGCCATGCGTCCTCTACCCGCCACCACCAACTCTAAATAAACCTCTAAATACTATTTGGTTGTCTTTCATAACTTATCCCATCTATTTCATTTACTTCATCTCATCTCATAACACATTCAATCATCTCATAACACATTCCATCATTTCATTTCATTTCATCTCATCACATAACATAACACAACACATTCAATCATCTCATAACATATTCCATCATTTCATAACACATTCAATCATCTCATCTCATAACCCAAATCAATCATCTCATCACGTAACATAATACAACTCAACTCAATACTAACCCAATCTAAATACTATTTCAAAACATCATCCATATCAAAATATCACTACCACTCAACACTAACTCAATACCACCCCACTACTAACTCAATACCACCCCACCACTAACTCACCACTAACTCAATACTAACTCAATACACTACTTACCCCTATCTAACTCCACTTAACCCAATACACACTCTTTTTTTAGAGACCATGCAGAAGCACTCCCTCTTACCAAATACTCCTCTTCCCAATTCCAACTCCACTTTGCTCAAGACCAATCCCATGACCGATTTCACTCGTATCTTTATTAGAGAAAAGGGTCTAAATCGACACCATATAGACTCTTTTAACTATTTTGTAGATACAGAACTACGTCGTGTTCTTGGTGCTAATAACTTTATTGATTCCGATGTTGATCCATCCTTCTATCTTAAATATACAGATATTCGAGTTGAACCCCCAACTATTGAAGAGAATATGGTTAAACGCCATATTACTCCAGAAGAGTGCCGTATACGTAATTTAACCTATACAGGTGATATTTTAGTTGATGTCGAGTATACTAGAGGCAAAGACATTGTTATTTCCAAAAATGTTCTGATTGGTAAAATGCCTATTATGCTTGGTAGTCATTTATCCCTCCAAAAACCAAGTACAGCTGATGTTCCTTTGCCCTTCCAGACTTCTAAACACATTATACCTATCCAGAACCCTATACACACTCGACCGGCTCGTGAGTGTCCTTTTGATATTGGTGGGTACTTCATTTGTAAGGGCGTGGAACGAGTGCTGCTCATGCAAGAACAGCTGGCTAAGAATAGGATTCTGATTGAACTTGATTTTCGTGGTGATTTAAGTGCAGTAGTGACTAGTTCGTCTTTAGAACGGAAAAGTAAGACTAAACTCGTACTTAAAAAGAAGCTGGTTTACTTGGCGCATAACTCACTATCAGAAGATATTCCTTTACAAGTTGTACTTAAAGGTATGGGTATTACGACTGACTTCGAAATAAACACTTTGCTTGGCCACTTCCTTCCGCCTTTGCCGCCAATTCGTACGCAGTTGGAAGCACTGGCTTGGATTGGGGCTAAGATCAAAACAAGATCGGGGGGAATTGATGAGGCTAGAATCTTTCTTCATGATATTCTTCTGGCCCATGTGCCTTGTACTCCGACTGATATGCGTAAAAAGGCCGAATACTTGGCCTTAATGGCACAAATGCTGCTTCAAAATGCCGAAGATCCCTCCCAGAACGATAAGGACTTTGTCGGTAACAAACGTATTGAATTAGCTGGACAAATGCTTTCCCTACTCTTTGAAGACTTACTCAAACGACTGAACAGTGAAATGAAAAAGGCCTTAGATCGAGTCCTTTGCAAACGAGCCCGAGCCCAGGAATTAGATGCCTTGCACTTTCTAGTCATGAACCGGAGTCTAGTTAGTACTGGCTTACTCCGAGCTATTTCAACTGGGTCTTGGTCTTTGAAACGGTTTAGAATGGATCGAGCTGGTGTAACCCAAGTTCTATCCCGACTAAGTAGATTATCGGCCATTGGTATGTCCTCGCGTGTTTCTTCCCAGTTTGAGAAGACCCGGAAAGTCTCGGGCCCTCGAGCTCTGCACTGCTCCCAATGGGGACTCTTTTGTCCAGCTGATACGCCTGAAGGTGAAGCTTGTGGTTTAGTTAAGAGTTTGGCTACTTTAGCTGAAATCAGTTCAGAAGAGAAAGAAGATGCGATTTTGCACTATCTTTCTTATCTGGGAGTTGAAGACCTCTTTGTCGCCACTACTAATCCTAAGTGCTGGGTAAATGGTCTCATGGTCGGTCAGTGCCGTAATCCTATGGCTACAGCCCAACAACTCAGAGACTTAAGAAGGGCCGGACGTATTCCCAGTAGTACGGGTATTTGGGTGGCCACTGACCTCTTTATTTCCACTGAAGCCGGTCGTTTAGCCCGGCCACTAGTTATTGTAGTTAATGGCCAGCCACGAGTTACTCCCCAGGAAATGGCCTACTTAGTAGCGGGATACAAAACAGTCCAGGACTTTGTTGCCGGTGGCTTAATCGAGTACATTGATCAGAATGAAGCTAAGAATGCTAATATTGCTACGTGGAAAGAAGAAATAACGGCTGAAACTACCCATTTAGAAATTGATCCGAGTTCGATTCTAGGATACATTGCTGGTGTTATTCCTTATCCCCACCATAATCAGTCCCCACGGAATACTTACCAGTGCGCTATGGGTAAGCAAGGTGTAGGTGTAACTGGAGTGGATATTAGACGGCGAATGGATGGGGCTAACTTCTTCCTAGTGCATACGCAGCGGCCTTTAGCCGCTACTCGGGCCATGGAAATCATTCAGTATACGGACTTACCGGCCGGACAAAACCTTACAGTGGCAGTTATGAGTATGACGGGGTACGATATAGAAGATGCTTTAATTCTTAACCAGGCCTCAATTGATCGGGGAGTTGGCCGGGCTATTCTCATGAAGACGCACTCACTCTCTCTACGGACATATCCTGGTGGCACAGCTGATTCAATTACTGGCACGGGTATTCCACCGCCGGGTATGCGTGTGGCCGAAGGAGAAACTCTAATTGATCGCCGGACGCCATTTGGGACTAAGGCTGGTGCTGTTTATCGGGGTTTAGATCCCGCTCATGTCGACCGTACTGTACTGACACGCACGGGTGATGACTTGGTAACGATTAAAACAGTCTTACGGGAAAACCGAGTGCCTCGTATTGGGGATAAGTTCAGTAGTAGACATGGACAAAAAGGAGTGGTGGGACTAGTATTACCCCAAGAGGACATGCCATTTAATGAGCAAGGTATTTCACCCGATTTAGTTATGAATCCCCACGGGTTTCCTTCCCGAATGACGGTTGGTAAGATTCTTGAGTTAGTGACTGGTAAGGCTATTGCTAATGGAAGTCAGCGACTTAATCAGTATGCGGCTTCGGCCTTTGGAGGAGTTACAGCTAAAGATATTGCAGCTGAACTAGTTAATCTAGGGTTTAGTGCATCGGGGAAGGAGACACTTACTTGTGGAACGACTGGTAAGCGCATTCCAGTGATGATCTTCTTTGGACCTGTTTTCTACCAGCGACTTAAGCACATGGTTAGTGATAAGATGCATGCTCGGGCTAGAGGGCCACGGGCTGTACTGACGCGGCAGCCTACAGAGGGTCGGTGCCGGGATGGAGGTTTCCGGCTGGGAGAAATGGAAAGAGACTGTTTAATTGGGTACGGTGCTTCAGAAATGCTAATTGAGCGGCTGGTTGTATCTTCTGACCGGTATATGGTTTATATTTGCAGTGCTTGTGGCTTAATTGTGCATAGTAATGAATGTCTCTCGTGCCAGCAACCGGCTCTAAAGGTACAACTGCCATATGCCTGTAAGCTTTTATTCCAGGAACTAGTATCTATGAAGATAGCCCCACGAGTTATTCTTAAAAAGACGCAATAGATTGGCTTATGCCTACATGATAGCATTAGATGCGTTGAAATAAGATATTATTAAATTGATTTGATTTAGTTTAGATTTGATTTGGTTTAGTATAGTTTAGTTTAGTTTAGATTTGATTGAGTTGGTTTAGTTAGTGTAGTGTTTGGTGTAAGATGTAGTATTTTGTAAGCTGTAGTATTTTGTGATCTAAATGGGTTAAGATGTGGTGGTATTAGGTGAGTTATAGTGTGGTATAGTAATCTATCGTCTGGCAAAGAAGAAATAGATGAAAGCAAGTATGAATAAGCCGGCTAGGGCCTGAATAAGTCGGTAGTCGGTTAAGTGTCTATTAGATATTTGGTCGACCACTCGATCGGAAAGACCTAGATAGAGAAGTCCGTCCTCTAGCTTCTGCCTGCTACGTGCAAGTAGGTTGCGCTGTTTGTCTATAGAATGAATTGAGTGCGAAGCTATTTTGATATACTGCTGGATCTTGTCTGTGTTTCGGGTGAAGTAATCGGCATTTTCGTCTCTTTTCTTGGTATACCCGCCTTCGGTGTTGGCCTGAGACATATTGATGATGTTAATGCGGCGGCGTAGAATAGCTAAACGTTGCTCTAGACTGCGAAAAGCAACTGCGCCTTCCTCGCCAGCATTAAGTAAAATGGCTCTAGCGTCTTCTATCTTGTGGTGAAATTCTTCAAATAGTTGTGAAAGAGTTCCGGAATCTGTAGTGTGTGTTAAAGCGGCTTCAACTTGGCTTCCGATCTGAGAGGCTTCTTTGAATACTTCGTTCCAATCTTGTCCCTCATGCCAGTCCATTGTTTGCTAAACAAAATTGGCATTAGTATAGTATGAAGTTGGGTTAAGTTAGGTGTTGGGTGGGGTGGAGTTGGTAATGAGTGGAGTTGGTATTGGGTGGAGTGGAGTTGGTGTTGGTAATGGATGAGTTAGTAATGGATGGAGTTGGTAATGAATTGGGTTGAATAAGCTTTCTGTTGAATTGGGTTGTGTTGTGTTACTTGGGTCGGGGTGGGTTTTCTTTGAATGGCTGGGTAGGAGTGGACTTAGTGGGGTTGGACTGTGCTGTGGGTGGTTGGGCCATTTCTTTGAGGGCCTGGAGAGCCTCGTTGGTTTGGGTCATTAGGGCTTGTAGAGCTTCCTTTTGGGTGGTCAGAAGTCTTTCGGCTTCGGCTTGGGTTCGATAGCGGTTGTACTGGTGCTTGAGTGATTCGCGTAGAATAGTTGTTTGTCTTTCTTTTAGAGCTCTAATCTCTTCTTTCAGCTCGATGTTCTTAATGGCTAAATCAAGACCCTCAACTGGCTCGGTATCGGGTGTCTTTTTGGGTCTTTGCTTCATCGGAGTATATGGTATTGGGTTGATCGGGTTAGTATTTATAAATCTAGGACTATTTTATTGCTAGATTGGACTAATCTTGGGCATGTTTTTGGCTTTGGTGGAAATATGGAGATAGTTAAACAGTAAATAATGATTCTGGGAAGTAGATCATCTAAAGTTGTTAATCACAAGAAAAGTATAGATATGTATTTGTTCTTTGCGTTTTTTACCGCTATGCTTTATCTAGCCACTATAATTAGGTATCTATCTATGTTTGTGTTGATGCTGTTTGGCACACAAGTATATATCACGCAAGGACTTGGGCCAATCTTCTGGTCCGACAGCTATCAACTAGAAACAGCTTCTTCTGCCGCCATACGCGACCATGCTATAGCATTAAAGCTGCCGGATTACACGCTTATGGCAGAGCTAGCTATGAGTGTTGAAACGCCCATACTTACATACAGGACATCAGTTTTAGCCGATCCACTCTTGAACCCAAAAGGAATTCTAAAGGGATACATTACCGTTAATATTGATCCAAATATACTTCATAATGGCTTTTTCCTTGCCTACTGTACACGAGGAATACAGTACACCAATGAGTTTCTGCGCACAGTCTATACCTTTGGCCAGGATGACTTCCGGTTTCTTGCACAAGTGCTTAAACTGAATTACTACCGGCCAGAAACCATTAGCATCCAATTAGAAGACTACTATGTTTTTAAAGTTAACTCCAAATATAAACCACTATATCTTTTCATCAACGCTAAACCCTTCTCCCCTATTGGACTGCCTGTTGCGCCGGAAATCTTCATTGCAAAATGCCCGAATATGCCTTTGCCGCCGAGGTATCCGAATGACCCTTTCAGCATTAAGACTGAAGACATTTCGGTTCTTTCACCGTTGCTATACAAGGAGTTTTATTACCAGCTAACTATGCCCCTACCGGGTATCTCGACTAAAAGTAGTCCAGGCATCTTTTATGTCCCTGAGACTCAATCGTACTATATTGATCACCAACACTATGATGCTTTCATTTATGCCCGTCCAGCGACCTGCTGGCACGGATCCTACTTCGTTATTCCCAAACACCACCGCGGCAGCACGAATACTCCTACTGTGTATCAATTCTATCCCAACCGCATTGAAATAATTAAGTACACAAATCGTGACGGCCCGTCCGCCTCCGCCTTGCATGGCTGCCAGAACAATACCAAAGTTGTATCCGATCCCGCCCTGATTAAATCCCTTCTCAAATCCCAACAGCTCTGGCACACAGACCCAAATGGTAATCTCATTGGCAAGCTGTCCTCTAAATGCACATTATATGGTGACTTTACTCCCATTACACATAACATAACCTCTTGTTCACTGTCTTACAGCCACAACTTAACGCCCGTTGCTATTCAGGCCAACGACTTCAACCAAATAATCAACTCGATTAGCTCTGCCAATCAGGCCCCCGCCAAAACTACTTCTAACAACACCGCGGCAGAGCTTCTGAATCTACTCTCTAAGTCTCTCCGCCTTCCCGAGCCCATCACGCCAATCCAACCCCCTACCTCCCCTTTTATTACACACAGCACTCTTCCCCTAGGTCTTATCAAACCTTCAACTCTTCATACTCTTTTGTTCTCTGTTCATAATATCCCTTTTGACTCCAGTATCTACACCGGCATGCCCTTTGACATCTGGATGCACGATATCACACTATACGATTATGAAAAAGAACCACCCGCCTCTCCATCCCCAACTAACCCGCTCTCTACCTCCAATCCAGTCCCAACACCTCTTGATTCCTTTTACCACCTCCAAAGTTTAGCTTATCTTAACCAGACTTTCCCCATTCCTTACGAGGTCTTTTATGCCCCCAAACGAGCTGCCATTGATGGATTCAAAGAGCTTACCACCATCTCCCACCAAATACAAACTGCGGTCAATCTCATGGACAAATTCCCTACCCAAACTGTCTGGAACACCGAGAGCACGCTCCAAGCCCTTCTTGTTGAGCATACCCGCCATCTCAAAATGATCCTCAGTCACGAATTCGTTGAACTCCAAGCCATCCAAATGGGATTATCAGCCAACTCCAAGAAGGAAAAGCTCGACGATATCTTTAACAATGCTACCTACCAGGCATACCACACATCACTACAGCCCACAGAAGTTGTTGACGCTCTCTCGCCCGAACTCCAAGAAGGCACTTTTTTCCTAAGCTATATTATCAAGACCACCCGAGCCCATCTTCACAAAATCCAACGTTTCACTAGCACACCTCTCTATCAGTATCTCTACCATGAATATCCCAAGATTCAAACCATGATTCAGCCAGAACTTGATGCCATTAATAACCTTCACAGCGCCCTTATTCCGTTTGAATACAGCTTTGTCTGGTCGGCCAATCCCCTCGATCTAATTAACACCTATATTCCCAACAGCCTCTATCGCCCTTACCAAAACATTCTCATCAAATGCAACGAAGTTGTTGAGCGTCTCTTCAAGACCAACACTGCTGAATTCTCCAAGCCATCCTCCCAATCCGATGCTGGTGCCATTAGTCCTGTGGCTCACCATGCCACCAAAATACAAGGAATACTACTCTACCATGCCAATACAACCAAAGCCATCAATCAGCAGCTCCACAGCTACATCACCTACCTAGATAGCATAAAACAATTCTATATTAAGTTTCCCAAACATCTCTTCCACTCCTCCTCTACACGCAAGTTGAAACCTCGCCAATCCAAATCCACGCCCGCCCCTTCCAAGTCCAGTACTAATTCCAACTCCACCACCCAACCCGCACTTACTCCTGCTAATCCCAATCCCAAACCCAATCCCAAACCTAAACCTAAACCTAAACCGAAGAGATATCAAATACCACAAAGCGACACGGACTGTCCCCATCCTATCCCCGACACTAATATTCCTTGTCGCACCCGAGAATTTCTCTCGGATACAATTAAGTCTCTTGTGGAATCTCGCGACCAGCGCCAGACCGCCGATTGGACTCCTGTTATAACCCACCGTGCTTTACCACCCCACACGACTCCTCCACAGCCCCAACCAGCCCCCACTAAACTCAATACCAACAAGTTTATTGAATTCTCCAACTCGTTCAACAGTCTCTTCCTGGACCAGCTATCCTATGTCCATCAATCCTCAGTCAATGCCACTCACGTCGATCCCAAGTACCTCACTATCCTAAACCATGAACTCTACAATCCCCATACCTACAAAGAGTGCGAAACCTACATTGACAGCATATTAGATGGCGTACCTAACCCCTTTGCCGACCCTAATACCAACACCAACAATATCCCCGTCCCACACCGATTTACCCGCTCCTCTCTCTCTCCTTTCTACCACCAAATCCTCAACGACGTGTTTTCACAACTCCTCATTAATTTTGACCAGGCCTCCGCTATCCCTACTGAATGTCTGGAAGCCGCCAATGAGTACAACATCCGCAATGTCGTTCCAGTCCTCTATACTCTTGAATCGCTCTTTTTCAAGCTCATGGTGAATCCAGACCCAGATCGTCCCTTCTCAACCGACCAAAGGCTCTACTTAGCCCAATCTTACACAGCCGACATTCTTTCCCGAACTTATTCTGAACATTGGAAACTACCCTCCCTGACCACACCCCTTAAGCATTTTGTTCTTGAACTCTTCATCCGACATAAGCCAGCTCTCCAAATCCTTCGCAACCAAAACCCCCTCTACCTCTCCGCATCACAACCAGACAATCTCTCCGCCGATGAAATTACCGCACTTACCACAAGTACTATAGCTATTTCCGAACAGATAAATCACTTTATTACTGAGCTATGTACCATCCTTCGCGAACTATTCGCTATTGAAAATCTCCCAGGTAAGCCCGGCGATATCTGTGCCCAATACACTCCTAGCCCCACCGCCATTCTTCCTGACCTTATTGAAGACTGTCAAAACCAGATCAAAAAACACTACCAAATCGGTCTCCATCTCATTGATAAGCTTAAACAAGTCTACCCCAACCACGAGAACTGCCGCCGTCTAATCAAAAAACTCTACGTCGACTCGTTCCAAACCGAGGACTTCGATGATGAAGATGTCGATTATTCTTAACTCAAAACTAACCAAACCTAGCAATAAATCAATCACATATCCATCCAATCTAGCCCAACTAACTAGTAGCAATACTAACCCAATGCTAACCCAACTCCATTAGCAACTCAACCCAATCTAACTATACGACATAAATACTATCTAATTGCCAACTATTTCTAAGTAAAACAAAATCTCATTCCAAGCCAACATTATTTTCAATCTGTAGACTCTTCTCTACATTTTAGCAAATACCACAACCCATCTAAACACAAATATATACTAACCTAATAACACCATAAGTAACCACCTCAATTCAATCTAATAACACCATAAGCAACACAACATAACATTATATATCTTCTTGTTTATTACTAGCCGTATCAACAGGGCTTATTCGGTTTGGGTAAGCATTGGTTCCGGAGAGTCACCAGTAATGACTCGATCTGCACCATGGAAGCAATAATCAGGATGAGTCTGTTTCTTTTGAATAAACGCATTGGAAATTCGTGCTAACCTCTTGCGGAATGATAGTGATTGTGTTTGTTTTATCTTAGTAGCGAGTAAAATCACTTGGCGTTTCATCTGCTGCAATATACCATGCACGGCATCAGCAGCATGTTCTCCACCCGCATCGGCCTTCTCTCGTAATGTACCTTCTAACTCCTGCAACACTTTCCTTTCGGCCTCCCATCGTGGGAACATCTTTTTATGCGCCTCAACCACACTCTTCATTTCCTCAATCTCTTTCCAAATTGGCGCCAGCCAACTCACCGATTGATTTCTATCCTTCTCAGTCTTCTGGGACGGCGTACTTTCAACTCTTTTAATCACATCAGCTGGCACCTCAGACCCCGCTCCATTAGCCAAGCTCAGATCAGCACTACTACTTTGGGCCGAACGACTAGCTACTTGATGTCTATTCATATTCATCTTAGTAATAGTATTAGTACTTCCGGCCGAACCCGTCCGAGGCAAACCACCACCAACCATTCCCAATTTACTTCCCAGTCCAAGACCAGGCATACTCCCTGGCTTCTCCAACTCACTCCGGGCACCAGACCGATTCATTCCTTCTAAATCAGCCACTCCCATCTTAGTCAAAGGACTAAACCCGCCAAACACACCATTACGAGTCGCCGGGCCTTGTTCCGGTCCCCGAGCAAATTCAACTCCACCTAAACCCCCACCTATCTCCTTCGCACCATTCATTCCATCCAAACCCACTCCAATACTCACTCGATTTAGCAAAGGCGTACTCATAAACCCAGTGGGTGCACTGCCACTCACTCCTCCATTTTGACGCAAAGCTCCCCGACCAAACACTTCCGGGCTTACTCCACTCTCACGACTATTATCCCGACCACCATTCAAAGGCGAAACCAACGAAATGTGCTGAATAGGTCCTAATCTTGCTCCATCTAAAGGCAAAGCCCGTCTAATTCCTCCACCACCACTTCCATTTCCCGCTAAATTCACCATCTTCATAGTATATTCAGAATTAGACTGATCTTCACCCAAACCCAGGCCATTACTACCACTACCACGGCCACTAACCATACCCCCAGCAACACCAGCACGAATACCTCCATTAAGATCAGCCGGCTTAGATTGAGTTAGATTAGATTGAGTTAGACTAGGTTGATTTAAGGCGGGCGGTTTAACTAGGGGTTGAGATAAGCCAGGTTGAGTAAGAATAGAATTAGGTCCACCCATCCCAATACTAATTCCACCCATCCCAATTCCATTTAAACCACCAACAGTAACAGCACTACCACTACTACCACCCCCAACACTATCAGCACCATTAACACTATTCATTCCATCTTTATCCTTCCGATGAATCTCTCTTAGGATTTCTTCTGAGTTCATAACATAACTCTTTTCAATCTTAACCAACTTCGCATGCATAGCTTGTAAATACTCTTGTCTTGATTGCGATCTATCAAAAGTCAACTGTTCAGACTTAATAGCTGAGTCCCTTATATGTTTAACTGAATAATGACTAAACATTGGCGATTGTCTTAGTGCATAGAAGATCTTCTTCAGAATATTTCTTCTTTCATCCGGATTAGCTGGTGCTTGTTTCATCTTCCAAATAAAAAGAGACTCTCTTCTCACAACACATACAATCACTTATCACCCATCCATCTTACACTCTACCGATCCCATCCATCTTATCTCCCCAACATCTTAGTCCTCCAGCAATACCAATACCACTCCAATACCATTTCAACAACAGCACCAATACCACTCCAATAACAATTCATTTCACAACTCACTCCAGGCAATATCTACTAAATACGAGATACTACAAATGCTAATTCAATACTACCCCAAATACCAATCCAATACCAACCCAATTCAATCATATTTACTGAATACATAATCAACCTAAACTCAACCCAACCCAAACTCAGATCCTCCTAATTTAATCTAATCTAAACTCAATTTACTATATCACATCTACCAATACAATCCAATACTAACCCAATACAATACTAACACAACTTAACCCAATAAAGACATAGATAATCATTTACTTTACTTAATCCAACCAATACCAATACCAACTTAATAACTCATTTAATTACCCATTTAATTACTCAACTCACCTCAACTCAACTCAAGTCCATTACATTACATTGCTCCATCACAATACCACCTCACACAATACTATCACCACCATTACACAATACTAACACAATACCACCTCACCACACAATACCACTACACACTATCATATCATAATTCCTGTAAAGTCATTTTCTTGAGCAACTCTTTCTTTTTCTCTATCTGCTGGGCCAAACTCAAAGCTATCTTTTCTTTAGCTTCGGCCAACCTATACCCGGCAATTACTTGATTGGCTTCTTCATACAACTTACTAATCTTCTTAAGATCCACTTGAATATCCCTCCTCTTCCTTATATCCAATGAATCCCAAATACACCTATTAAACACCCCAATTATCTCTTTACTTACCACTAACAAAGACCGATTCTTGATGACGTCATCCAAACCCACTTCAATCTTAAATCCAAATTGTTCAATTTCTTTTGGAATTCTCGGTAAGCCCTTCTTACCCTTATCTACCAACCCTCCCTTTCTCTCCTTATCTATGGGAACTTCTGGCCAAATCTCACGAATATTCATTTTGGTACGCAAATATTACCCAATAAAGTAAATTCTTTAATTGTGAATCCAAGTCTCTTTTCCTATTTAGAAGAATATATTTGCTAATTTTGTCTACCCCTGCAAATGGTTGAGTTGCGTGAATCGCCAAGTGATAGTTCAGCCAAAAGTGGGTTCTCTTACGATATCAGTGAAAATCACAATATCAAAAACTTTAATCGTAAGTCCGAAGAAGATAAGTATCATATTCCTATTCAATCATTTTTAGCCTACCAAGATAAGCGCGATTATAGTTCAGATAGGACAGCAGCAGATTATGCTTATGATTCTTCTGATAAGGAATTTAGTACTCCTGGTAGATCTACTAGTGAGTTTCACCATCCACCCTACGAGCGAATGAGTAGCCAAGTTCGATCGCCAGTCATTGGTGGACAGGCAACAGCCACTGGTGGGTTTACAGGACCAGTCACTGGTAGTGGGCCTGGGAGTGCCTGGAGTACCGAGAGTAGACGAACCAACCGAGTCTATTCGCCAGCGCTGACTGGTCGCCAGTTTCGGAGCCACAGTATATCTGGGGTATCATCGTTATCTCTAGGAAAAAGTATGGATCATGATAAGGGGTTGCATAGATTAGATCATAACAGTATAGGCAATGTTAATGTGGATGTAAGTGGTAATATTAGAGATAGTAGAGATATGAATGGTAATATTAGAGATAGTAGTAGAGATAGTAGAGATAGTAGTAGAGAGGTGGGTAGAATGGGGAGAGGCGAGGGCTGGGAAGGGATGGGAGTAGTAGGTCGGCCGGAAGAAGGTCGAATGAATGGAGTAGGAATAAATCGAGGAAGTTTAGATGCCGGACATGGACTGCCTCGGGCTATGCCTCCTTTGCGTATCTTTCGCAATGAAGAGATAGATGATTCAGCTGATAGTGATGAAGGTGGTGACAGTCGAGTGAACAAAGGCCGTAAAAAGATCAAAATGGAGTTTATCAAAGATAAGGGAAGAAGAGGAGTTACTTTTAGTAAGCGCAAGAAAGGAATTATGAAGAAAGCTTATGAACTAAACGTCTTAACTAAATGTGAGATTCTTTTGGTGGTTTCTTCTGAAACTGGCCATGTGTATACCTTTGCTACGCCTAAACTACAACCAATCATCAAGCAACATGAAAATCTAATTCAGCAGTACTTAAACTCACCTGAGATAGGAGAACCAAACAAAATGTACGAAACTCCAGAGAGATTTGCCACTGAAGGTGCTGGCTACTATAAAAACACAGATACCTACGGGTATGATGGTATTTTAAGGGGACATGGATATCCCTCTGGCTACTATCACAATGGCTACGATCCCGACAATTCACCAGGAGCCGGTCCTCGTCTCTAGCTCTACACCACCAGTATCTCAAGTTAGTATTTGATTTAGTATTTAGTTGGTATTTGATTTAGTATTTTGATTTGATTTGATTTGGTTTATTTTGATTTACTTATCTTATCTTATCTTATTTTGACTTAGTTTAGTATTTGATTAGTATTTAGTTAGTATTTGATTAAGTATTTAGTTAATGTTTTGATTTACTTATCTTATCTTGATTTATTTTAATCTTATCTTAATCTTATCTTAATCCTCATCAAACCCAACCCAACCCTAATCTATCCAAATCCTCACCCTACCTCACCCCACCTAACTCCACCCCACCTAACTCCATTCCACTTAACTAGATAAGATAAACAGAATACTAATGCAAAATACTAAACTAATTCAATTATGACGTCATCATTCAAAATCCTAATTCAATTATGACGTCATCATTCAAAATTCAAAAAACAAATCTAAATCTTATCTGAGTGGTTAAGTAGTATAAGTTGTATAAAGAGAAAATAGGATCGGGCCATCAATCAGCCCTACCCCAGTCTAGTAGCTCAATAAATGCACACATTTTGGTTTTTTTATGAATGAAGATCCAGACAGAAAGAGCAGCTATCAATGTTGTGAATGTAAACTTACTGTTAGCATTGGAATCAAAGATCCAGTGCGTTGTTTCAATTGTGGACATCGAATCCTCTATAAATTACGTAGTGAAACATGGACGCAATATGAAGCCCGATAAGGAAAGTCAAATTTTTTAGAATGGAAGAGTATGTGGCTGAGTTCTTCTTTAAAAGAAGTTTATCTTGTTTAAGTGAGAGTAGTAGTATATCTTGTCCGATTAAGATAAGTTTAAGTGATAGTTTAGATAGTCAAAATCAAAAGACTAATCTAAATCTAAGTTTAAATCTAAGTTTAAATCAAAAGTTAACTTATCAGATAGCGATAGTAGCTTATGAAAAAGTTGTTTTAATTGATCCTTTAACTCTATCTATCATTAAAGAGATAGAACATGGATGTACTAATTTAATAACGGCTATTTGTGGCGTAGTAAGAGAGGGTGGGATGTACTTAGGCCTGGGAATGGATAATGGGTTAGTACGGATAGTTGATGGAATGGGAGAGGAAGTTAGTGGGTATAGAGAACATGATAAGCGAGTTTTAGGTATTATTGATAATGGAGATATTTTTGTTTCTTATTCTAGTGATAGATTGGTTGTTTTTGATTTACGTACTGAGAGTTTAGTTGTTAGTTTTGGTTTAGATCTGAAGATTAGTACGGTTAGTTTACTAGATAACGGTAAGTTAGTAGTAGGTACTGAGAGTGGAGTAGGACATATTTACTTAGTAGATGACTTAATGATAGGAGTAGTTAGTGCTGAAGTAGTTAGTGTAGGTAGTGGGGTTATCTTAGGAGTTGGTTTAATGAGTAGTAGTAGTAGTAGTAGTAGTAGTAGTAGTCTTAGTGATATTTATTGGGTCTTATCTGAAGTAATTTACTGTTTATCTAGTAGTGGGGTTAAGAAGATACCATTAGGACATCGGATTAGTAACAATTTCTTAGTAATATCTGGATCTTATCTTTTATCTAGAGATACAAAAAGCAAGTATCATTTATTGCAAATTCAAGCAAATTCACAACTAACTGAGATCTATAACTTTAAAAACAGTAGACCTTTAAGAAGTTTGTTACTTTTAGATAAGTATTGTGACAGGTACTTAGATAAGTATTTTAACAATTTAGATAAGCATTTAGATAACAATTTAGATAACAATTTAGATAACCCAACTCAACTTAACCCAACTCAACTCAATCCATCTCCTGTTCTTATCTTTTCTGATAACGGACTTAGTATTTATAACAATGCTGAAGAGTACTGTAGTACAGATGCTGGTCGTGAGAATCTTTTAGGGGTTGTTACTATTGGAGATATGGTTTTGGGTCTTTCTAATTCGGCTGGGCGAGTCTTTGCTCGTTTAGTGAGTAAAGAGGAGGTTGAACCACTTAGATCTTCAGCTGTTCTTTTTACTGATGAAGATATGACTTGTTTAGCTGCTGATAAGATAAAACAACAAATCTTGATAGGCAGAAAAGATGGATATTTAGTTATTAGAGATAGTTTTGGTAGTTTAATTAGTAGTGAACTTATTGTTGCTAAAACACCTATCAGTAGTATTGCTGTGGTAGGAAGTATTAGAGCTATTGGGGCTGGAAGTATAGTTTACTTACTGGGTGAGAATGAAGCCCGTGAAGAGATTCATTATGATGATGAAGTAGTAAGTCTTTGTCTTTCAGCTGATGGTGGCTTAGTTTTAGCAGGTTTAGCAGATAATACTGTACGTGTTCATCGTTTAGATGGTGAACCTGTTTTAAGTCTTTATGGTCATTCTGTGCCTGTCTTATCTATTTTTGTTTGTTTAGATAGTGAAAGGGTTTTTACTTTAGGTGGAGATAAACTAGTTAAAGTTTGGGGATTACGTCATGGTGATTGTCGTAAGACTTTAAATCCTGGTGATCCTTTAGGTATGATTATTCATAATAACTTACTAGTCATTAGTACAGTTACTGGTCTTATCTACTATTTAAAAGAGAGTTTAGAACAAGTTAAACGAGTTAGTTCATCTTTAGGTAAGAAAAGAGGTATTTTAGGGAGTAATAAGATAGCAGTTTATGAACACCATTTGTTTACTGTTCGTGATGGATCTTTAGCTTACTTTAGTGAAGGTGAGGACGGAACTACTCCAGCTGAACAAAGAGCTAAAGAAGAGAACGAATTAGAAGTAGAGAGTATTGCTAAGGAGAAACGAATATTTAAGGTAGAAGCAGCTTTAGAACTAGAAGAAGGACTTGAGGAGAAAGATAGTCGTAAAGTCTATCAAGCACTTTTAAGAATGCCTAAATCTGATATCAGTCGAGTAGTTGGAAGTATGGGTACACAAATGCGAGAAGTCTTTGCTGAAGTATTAGTAGAGATAGTAGATAAGGAGGAGTATAATCCTCTTTATTTAGGATGGAGTATTAAGTGCTTATTTAATCAGGAGAGGTTAACTCAACTCTTACCAGCCCAAGCAGTCGTGCGTGAACATTTGAGAAGACAGGCTAGATCGGCTATGGCGGCACAATCGGCTTTGCAATGGCTGCTTGATTCAAGCTAATCTTAGCCAGCATAACTTTCATTAAAGATATTTATTGGCTTTATTTGTTATCTATTGGGTTAGTATTTTGTTATCTATTGGGTTAGTGTTTTGTTATCTTATCTTGATAGTATTTTCTTATCTTATTTTGCTATCTTATCTAGATACTATTTTGCTATTGGGTTAGTATTGAACTATCTATTTGATTGCGTATTTATTATCTTATCTAAATCCATATCTAAATCCATACATATCTAAATCCACATCTAACTCAATACTAACCCAATACATATCTAACTCAATACTAACTCAATACCTCTCCACCCTACTAGTTAGTGCAGGTGCATGTGCTCGGCTTGGACTTGGTGGATTTGATAGCGGTTGTTATTAGGAACTAAAGTCCAGGTGCTTTTAAGAGATAAGATTTGGTCTTTAGATTCGTTGTATAAATCAGCTATAAAACTTATCTTAGGATGTGATTGTTTGGAATTGGGAAAGATAAGAGAACGAATAGCTAGAAGCTCACCGACTGAGTAAGTAGTCTTAAGAGTACGCCAGGCTTCAGGTGAATAACGTTGTAAGAGGTCTTCGTATTTGGCACTACTAAGTACAGCTGGTACATATGTAGAAGTGAGTTGGGGTAGTGAAGCCGAGTGAGTCTGATTATCACGAAGCCATGGATGGAGATGTAAAGGACTACGATACGGCTGACCAGTCCATATCTGACGACCTGTACGTAAAAGACTCCAATGTACCAATTGCCCGACTCGGCTGATGGGATAATAGGCCAATCCTGATGCGCCTTCCCAAGCACGTTGTGAAGATCGTTGTAGTAGATCAGTCAATAGACTAGCTGACCCTACGGCTAAATGGACTGTATCTAATACTGCCCCTCCTGCTGCTAATAAAGAAGGTTCTACTACCCTTCTTACCCCCCAAAAATGCCTCAGCCAGTTAATTCGGCTAAGGGCTGTTTGTAATTCCGGGGAAGCTGATAGCTCCATTTGGAAATGCTTGTGAAACAATGCCAAAAAGCCAAGTTCAGTCATGTCCAGCAAAAAAATATGGATACAAGTAAAGAGTGGACTCTTTTAGGTCTTATCAGTGCTTGTTTAGGCATAACTCTAATCTTCATGATCATTTTTTACTATCTAGTCCGATCTGCCATCAAACCAACCAAAAGAAAACTAGGTAAAGCTATCTTTCGCAAAAGGCCTCGTAAAAGAGAGCATTCAGGCGTAATGAGTAGTAACAACTCAACAACCAGCATAGAACTATCAGTTACGGATATGGAGTGAGTTAGGATTTTGTTAAGTTACCTCAAGTTATTGTGTAATTCAATCCAAACCAAACCCAACTCAACTCAACTCAACCCAAACCCAAGCAAACCTTATCTTAATGTGTTGCTAAGTCCTGATAGGCTTTTAGTGGATTAAATGTTCTAATTGTTTTAAGATCTAGTCTGGTGTTCAGTTTGTTTGTAGTAGTCTTACTATGTTATGTTATGTTATGCTATAGTATATTAACTCAACTCAATACTTAACACAACTCAATACTTAACACAACTCAATACTTAACACAACTCAATTCAATACTTAACACAATGCTATACTAACTCCATACTTAACTTAACAAAAACACAACCCAACATCAATCCAATCTAAACACAAACACAAACTCAATTAGATTATACTGTTTATTTTAACTAACTTGTGATTAAGATAGGAATGATTAAGATAGGAGTAGTGACTTAATTGGCAAGATGGTTTTGAATGATTGTTTTGAGAACTTGGGGTGTAATTCGGCCTTCTACTTCAATTTGGGCAATTTGACTGGACTGAGTAGTGATAAGCGAAACAATTGCATCTGATGCACTTCTTTCCTGATGAATAGGTGATTTAAAGTACTCCTCGCCAACTGCCCCATAAGTACCTATCCGCCACGAAGACTCAACCGGATCCGTACGATAGATAGATTCAGTCGTACTTCTTAGTCCATGAAAGACTACAGCCATATCTGGTACTTTTAATCTAGCTACCATATAGGCCGTACAATAAGCCACCACTTCAAAAACTAAGCCAGAATCTGATAGCACTACTTGACTAACCGTATAGTCACCCTTATCTCCTCTTAGAGAGAAGACTCGATTATTACCGGCTTTTTGATGGTCTATCTTTAAACTTACCTCTACTACTGTACCCGATTTACGTCCTCTTACGGCAAAATCACCATAATTCATAATTTCCCAATCTATCACAACTTCACAATCTTTAGGATACAATCCATTTTCCCTAACTAAATCTCGAAAGAATGATTTTTCGGCCTGTCCGATAATCATGGAAGTCGACTTACTGCACGTTCGCATAAAATTTTGTGGTGGTAGTCGGATAATCTTCATAAAGTAAGTATATTCCTTTGATATTGCCAAACATCATAGATAATAAAATGGTTTTGTCGATCTTGTTAGTCTCTTTGTTTAGGGCTTTTCCGATGACTTCTTTTAGATAGTGTTTAAGACATTCATAGGCACAACGGGCTGGGGTGACGCCAATCTGTTCATTCAAAATATACTCAAAAGATCCTTTCTTCAGGCGGTTCTGTAGGTCCTTGATACTGAGAATCTTTTGGATCTTGCTGCAGAGGATGTTGTAGTTGGTTGAGAAGAGGGCAATGAGTTGGGGTCGGCCATTGATAGCCATGGAAAGATTCTCGGGTGTGCGGCGGAAAAATGAATATTGTTGGAAAGACTTACTGAGATAGTGGGACGTATCTAGGGTCTCTTTTATCTCTAAAAGGAAAGATTCAGGGAGGGCTTCTTTGATATTGAGAACTTCACGGCTGGGGATGCATTGTTGGGGATGGAGGGTCTTTTCTTTCGAGGCGGACCAGGCGGTAGCGAGTAGACGGAGAATGAGTGTATTGTGCTGAGTAGGAGTAATGCCGGCTTGGTGGAGGTGCTGCTCCAATTCGGACTTGTTGATCTGTTTGAGTAGGTACTTTTTAAGGAGCAGTTTAATCTGGTGTTGTTGGTGGTCGGAATGGGGAAAAGTCGTGGCGATGGCTAAATCAAAGGCCGATTGAGATGTGTTATGTTCCATAGCCAGCAAAAATTAAATGGATGTCTAGCTGTCTATCTCTGCTATCTCGTATCTGAATTGGTCACGGCCTAAGGTCAATCTAGAATAAACAATGACGTGTCCAAAGACTTAATAGTTGGCTCTATTTGCACATATTTCCTGAAGTCGTCAGAACAAAACAAGTATGATTAAATCCAAAGACATATTAACTAGGTTCTATTACAAAAAGACGCATAATGAAGGTTCTGAAGACTCCAACGCACTCGACTGAGTTTGTGGATAAGCTGTATAAGATGTTAGAAGAAACAGAAAACCAAGCGCTGATTCAATGGTGTGCGACAGGTGCGAGTTTTCTTATCATTAATCCAACGGAATTTGGGAAAACGGTCTTGCACAAGCACTTTAAACATGGGAATCTTAGTTCTTTTGTGCGGCAGTTGAATAAGTACGACTTTCATAAGATCAAAAGTGCGGAGAACATTTTGAAGCAGTTTGGACCGCAGGTCTGGGAGTTCAAACATAGCTGTTTTCAGAAGGGCCGCGTGGATATTTTGCGGCATATTGTGCGTAAGAAGAGCAATGCCGATAAAAGGTTTAAGACTTCGCGTGAGATGAGCTCGGATAGTATGGAGGCTTCTAATCGCATCCAGTCTCAGATTATTGGGACTTTGAAGATGCTAACGGTGCACTTCCAAGTGCTGGTCGAAGAGGTTAATGATTTGAAAAGAACGCTGAGTAAGAAGGAGTCTTTGTTCCGTGGGAATGTGAGTGTTTTGATCGGGGAGGATAATGTTACGTGTAGTTCGTATGCAGGGGCTATTCTGCGGAAGGCCGGGTGCTCGCCTGATACCTTTGAAAATGAGTCGGAAATCTTGTTGAAGTTGAAAGAGACGAAGTATGATGTGGTCTTTTTGAGCTCGCAGCTGCCTTCGATTCAGAAGATTCTCGCGGCGTTCCGGCAATTTGACAACGTCACTCCGGTTATTTTGACAGTGGACGGCATGGTACAGGAGGATTACATTTCGCTGCTTGGCGTTGGAGCTAGCGATATTCTGGTCAAGCCTTACCACCAGGACGCTTTGGTCCAACTTATGATGAAGTACTGCTATAGTTCAATTAACAGTGCTGTACATGCACAAAAAGGAGGGCATGCTGGTATATCGGCCTGGTAGGCTAGTTAGCGCAGTCGAGGCGGCAGCTCAATAATAAACAGCATTCTCAAGGAGTATAGGTTATCATTTAATAGTCTAATTTTGTAGTATGTCGGGGTTGTTCAAATAAGCTATGGTGTGCACTGATTGATATTGGGTTGAGTGGTATGGTGTGATGTGGTATGGTGTGCTGTGATATTTAAGCTAAGTTGAGTTAAGTGTGGTGTCCGTGCCATTCCACTCACATCTTAATGAGGCTCTTGAGATATCTCTACTTTTAGACGAGTTAACTACAGGGGTAAAGAACTTAGATATTTATTCCTTACTACTTTAGATAACCCAATACATTCCAAAAGAAATCTCAATCTTGTTATCACTTGTTTTAGAGTATAAATATACGGCGAAGATTGATAAGGGACTTCCATGAAGGATTCCCAGAAGTATATATCAGACCTAGAAACTGCTCAGAATTGTATACCAACTCAATACCAACTTGTCTCGCGTTGAGTATATTTGGGTTAGAGGTCTTTATCCTCCCCCGGGGTACAAGATTAAGTTAAGAGAGTGTTAGGTTAAGTTGGATTGGACTGAGTTTATTGAGCTGAGAGAACGCATTGGTATTGGACTATTGGTCGATGGATAGTAAGTGCTGAATAGGGGGGGTTGCCGTTTGGCAGTCAATAGGCAGTATTGCGCCTCGTGGAGGTTTAGGGGGAGGAGTTTCTGAGGATGAGGATTCTTCTGATTCTTCTGATTCTTCTGAATCCCCGGGTCTAATGAGAATGTGTTTAGTAGTAGCAGAGGTAACAAAGTCCATCCATGTCAATTCAATACTGAGACAATGCTCTGGAGGTTTTCGGAGACTATCACGCTCTTTGAAGTCAAGCCGATATAAGAACTCTAGAAATATCTCCATTCGGTCATTGGCCAATCTGATTCCATTGATGTGTAAATGGCGGGGCTGATAGCGCATGCTGATAATTAAGAGCATAAAACGACCAAGCAGATACAATATATCGCTCTCATTGCAGCTATCAATCGTGACTTTTAAAGTGCTGGGGTAGTAGACCGGGGGAATCTCTGGGCCCTGGGAATTACTCTTGGCAAGGGCATGTAGCTCGTCAGAAAGAGGCATGTTAACTGCCCTATGGACGTAGTGGATATAAAACCCTTGGGATTCAGTGACGTACCGCAGGAAATAGAAGGCTGAATCGGCTTGGCCGTTTTTCTCGGGCAATGGGGGAACCCTGCTATAAATGTCTTCTTCAAACGCAGTGAGTTGTGGGTGTCTTTTGACGTCGACCGCATAATCTATAAAACAATCGTATGACCTGCAATATTCGTGGTTGGCCCAAGTCAATAAACGTGCTATTTCGAGTATGCTAAGCGTTCGATCTAAAGGGAGCAAATAGCTGTCACACAAAACTGGTAGATTTAGCATGCCGTCAATGTAAACATCTAGCGCTGTACGATCGAAGACGGGCTGGTTGATCAGGAGAGAACACATGCTTGTTCTAATCGCAAATCTAGATGCATCTAGATGCGCTACCTCTTGCAAAAAGATGGACAGATCTGCTTTGTGATTGGGAAATTCAATATAGAACTGGGTGCGAGTAGTGTTTATCACTCGAAACAGACCGAAGACAAAGGCTTCAGAGCATTCGAGTAGATACATCTGGTCTATCAAGAGGTTTGGATGGTCTGTATTGGGTTGAAGGGCCTTATCAGAAAACGAGCAGGTTATTCGCTCTAAATAGTTGATCTGGACCCCTTCCATGATTTTTAGCGCTTTAAATAGCAGGTCTACATTCTTGCTTGTCAGATCTCCTAAATCCCACGTGTGCCTATCTGCGACTAGGCCTGCCTGGTCGAATTGGAAATATTGCATAAGATCAGCTAGTGCTTTTAGCGGATCCAAAGTAGGCTGGGAAGTGGTGTTACATGCTTTTTTTCTCTTTGGTATTCGCTTATCTTTGGGTTTGGGTTTGGGTTTGTTTTGAAAACTGTTGCAATGGCTTGATGGCTGGCCATGCTTCATTTGATATGCTTGGTGCTGGGTAACCAGAGACTTAAAACATACACTTAGCGCAATGGTTATCTTACATCTACACTTATCCCTTATCATACTGAGCATCTCAGATAGATAGCTATTAGGCGTGGAAA